ATTAAAACTGATTATAATATATATGTCTACATTTATATACTGTAAGTTTTAAAAAATGAATCAAAGCAAACAATTTTATTTAGAGAAAAATGATTGCAGATGTATGTGAATTACAAGTGAAGCATGCTGACAACATTAATTTCCAACCAATGTTTCTGTATAAATGATCATATGAGAATGCATATAAAAACAGACTTTCTACTTGCTAAGAGTTGGTTGAGTGAGCATTTTATTTCAATCCTTTCTTATCAAGCATGTACTTGAATTAGTTGTTTCTTAGGAGACTGAGTATTTAACAGTAATAATTTAATATATTCACTGTGAAGAAATATTGTTTCAGATGAGAAAACAGTATAATATTTTAAATAGAAGTGAAATAGATACAATATAAAATAATTGGCTCTTGTTCAAAAGAGACAAGTGTTTATGCTTATATTGGAAAAAATCAATCATACTACTTCAATTATTCATACTACTGACCAGTGATATTTAGTTTGCAAAAAGAAAACAAATCAGTTTGGAAACTTTTTTCACAACATCTAAGATTAATATTTAATTTCTATCGTTTTACCAGTACAATATTTCAATAGTCATTAAAAGATCTCTTCTGTTTAAATACCCAGGGTTTTAAATTATTAAACAAATCAAAATTGAATACACCTGAGGAAAAATGGTGTGAAAACCAAACCAAAATAAGTTTATAAAATAAGTTATAATTCTAAACAAAGTTTACTAACTTTCAACATGCATCAATAATCAGATATTTATTCAATCATTTTATAATAGATTTTTTATTTGTATTTTAAATATTTACAAAATATTATAAAAATTAACATGAAATATTCTTATCACTGTCTTCTAGTTACTAATGTATTTCTCCACTGAATACCAAGAATGAAGACTGCTACTCTTACTTTATCTAACACCTTAAACTGTAAAAAAGTTTTCAAGATCCCAATAACATGAAATGCTATTCTTTTAAAAAACCCTTATAAATCACTGGTCATTGTTAGCAGCAATACTAATTACATTTATTACAGAATTTCTAAAATGGAACATACAGTATATATATATGTGTGTGTGTGTGTGTGTATTTATAACGGTAAAAGACAAATAGGAAAACTGTATTATTAGGCGACATGTTTCGTCTAATGTGGACTTTTACAAGGCAAAAACAAAGTAACTATTAACAACAAAACATAATGTCCTTAGCAACTGGAAGAATTTAGAAAACACTGGAAGAGTATTCATATTTTCATATTGTTAAAAAAATTACGTCAAGTACTTTCACGTGTGGATATATTGTTTTTATTTTTGTGTTGACGGATTCAACCATTTTCTTTTGATTTCTTGATACTGTTTGTTTGTTTGGGAGAGTAGTAATTCTGTTAGGAAAGGTGAATAGGAAAAAGCCTGGGAATAGATTAATATTTGATAATATTCAATGGCAGCACTCTCGAGGATTTTCCTTCTGAGTGAGTTATTTTTTTTTTTATGAGTGTAGCATTTTTAAAATCAAAATTGTGGTTGAATTTATTTCTATGTATGACTAGTGCATTAGTTAATTTGTTTTTGTGTGGTCTCTTTGTGCTCATAAATGTTTTTTTAAATTTCTACTTGTTTCTCCATTATATTGGGGGAACAGTTTTGGCAATTTATTTTATAAATGCCTGACTTCAGAAATATTATTGCTATTAGTGTTTGAGGATCTGATGATTCCATAATCGTTCTGGAAGTGTTTTACAATTTTAAGATTATTTAGATGGGATAGGTTATTCTGGATAGTGGACGTGAATAAGTTGAATGTGTAGTATTATGCATCTGTTATAATGTAATTTATTATTGCGGATTATGTTATTTTTTTGTTTCGGTTATATATTTGTATGCCTTTCTTTGAAAAGTCGACATTGGACGAAACGATAAATACTATTCATTACAGTTTCCTATTTTTTTACATTTATAAATATTTAAAGAAATATACATACTATCTTACGGAGTTTTGCAATTAATGTAAGATACCTCTTCCTCAATATTAATTATTTTAATAAAAGAAATATAAAGATAAAATTTAAACCCTCCCTTCCTCTCTAAACTCGACCATGTTCTTTCAATTCATTTTCATCACCTTCTAATTCAACTCATATCCTCTTTAATACTGCCATTCAAACCTGTGAATTTTAAATTCATTGAATTTTCACCTTTGAAAGTGAAACTGAAAAATAAAAAAGAGAAAATAAAATTCTGGTGAAATACAAAATTATTACAATGGAGACTTAAAGTGGTCTGTTTTTCATTATTCGCCTGACTTAACATTGAGCCCTCAGGATTTCATCCTCATTTGGATTATCCATATGGATTACCAAGATTTACGTTAATTATATATATATATATATATATATATATATATATATATATATATATATATATTATTTTTATTTAATTTTTTTGTTTTTTTTTTTCTTTTCTCTGACCCAATGAGCTTAAAACTGTCCAAAATTGATGCATTTCCGAGTGTTTTGGCTATTTGTTTAACCATTATCAGATTTTATTTTACCTTTTAACTGAATGCCTGTGTTGTATTATGTATATATCTGAGTTATAGGATGTTTTATTTTCCAAATACAAAGTCTTCACATTCAGGGCTGTGTTCATAGTTAATGTTATTGAGGGTTGACTTTTCTTTTCTTTATTATTAAGACTTCCATTATTCTGTTTTATCTTTTTTTCATGTGGATTATGTTATGCTCGTATTTTTTACGAATATGTTTCGACTGAATGCCTTCAGTAGGTTTTGTGTATGTTTAAATGATTTTAATGAAGTTATGGTCTGGTAGAAATCATGTTAAGTCGTCTGATTCTAAATGTAGTAGTGTTTTTGATGTAATTATTTATGAGTTTGGTTTGATCAAGGACACAGTTCCTTGGCGACATTTGAAATCCTTCTAAGAAAATTCTTTTGTCGTTTTGATTTTGCAATTTGTATTGTTATTTTTTGAAGATGAGGTTAGCTGTTTTATTTTTTTTATTTTTTTAAGATATTTCATTTTCTTGTTCGGGTCGAATTAATGTTTATTTTCTTATGATATATCTAATGATTATTCATCTTGATTATTGTTGACGTTTATTTCGCTTTTGTTGCAGATGTTAATGTTATTGTTTTTAACGTTGCCTATTTTAATGACTTGTTTTTTATACTGGTAATGAACGCGTTAAAAACGAATCAAACGCCACCAGGATCCGCTTAGTAACTAATCCAATACAGGGAAAATCTCAAATGAGCAAGATCACCATCATATTAAGTTTCAGTTGCATGCCATTCACACTGAGTTTCATTCATTTTGACTCGATGATTACCAGTACGTCCGTTTTTTTTTTTTTATTACAAGGCACGCAACGGTTGTACAAAAAGACTTATAATTTTGTGATTTATATTTTTTCATTTTTGAAAATGATTTTATAATATAAATATAGAAGAAAGATATACCGTTGAAATATTAAAATTGTTTAACTTCTAATTATAATTTTTCTTTTCTTTTCTTAAATCGCGTCTCTTAAGTGTTGAAAATATTGGAAGTGTTACGTCAACATTTTGTTTAATAATACTAATAATGATAATAATAATAATAATGAAAATCATACTAAAAAATGCGTTGACCTGAAATCCAAATTCTGTGATGGACATCCAGAAACAACTGATCATCTTCTATCTGGTTTTTATCAGGATTCTTAATAAAAAACTTTTATGGGAAGGAAAACTGCGAGAAATTAAGAACACCACTCAGACCCCGTTAGAACGGCCTGCAGCATTTCTACAGTCTTTACAATATCCACAATAAAATGAATAAAAATACAGAGAAAATTATCAAAGACCACAAAACCAGAATGTGCTTTCTTATCAAATTAGCTGTTTTGCAGACTGCAATCTAACTCTGAAGACCATAAGAGAAGCTATTTAACTATAAGTATGGAAATCTAAACATTGTGCCACATGAAGACATCAATAATTCCAGTTATGGTTGCGGCGTTATCTTGACTGTAAAGGTTGTGATATCAGTGAATGGTATCCCCTGCTGTAAAGAAACACAAAATAATTGTTCTCACAAGTGTTTACGGAGTGTTTATCAATGAAAAAAATATATGTGACCTTAGGTTGTTTTAATTTTATTATTTTAAAATATGTTCAGTGGGAAATATCATTGACAACTGAATCGATTAATTTGTTCCTATTCATGCATTTGATAAACGTTAGATGAGAAGACCATTGATTTACGCTAGCATCAACCATTATAATGGAAGGCAAAAAGTTCTTCATCAGAGATAAAAAGGGCAGTTTCCTTTTGGAGTACATTATCGTCCCAGTTAGCAATTTTTGGGGGATTAGTTGTTAATTTGACTTTTTCGAAACCAATGGAAAACTAGTTTCTTCTTCTTCTTCTTCTTCTTCTTCTACTTCTTCTACTACTACTATTACTACTGGACTACTAATAATAATTATTATTATTATAACTATATTATGTAGAATATTTAGATAAAAAATGAAAAAAAACGATAATAATAATGAGAATAAGCTTGTATGAACATCACCCAAACCCGCTTACAGAGATAAGGCCTGTACAATTTTATGGGACTTTATATTGCAGAACTATCAAAATTAAACGCCAAGTCATCTTAATCAAAGACCACAAAAAAGAAAGTATGGATTTATTGACATGGCAGATGGTATTGTATTTGTTAAAGATCTTAAAAACTATCAAAATACAAGGATCTTGAAAGCGAAATGTAAAAAGACATTTTGAAGACACCAATAAGTGCACTTGAAGTTGGAGCCCTCGATTTTTATTGAAAAGTTTCCGTTATTTAATAAAGAGCTTCCTGGTAGCCCATGGCCCAACTAAAATAAAAAAAATTGTACTCACAAGTACGGCTCGCATATTACGAATAGTTTTATCTATGTAAAATGTGTGTGACTTTAGTTCTTTTTTCCTTTTTTTCTTTTTTACAAATGTATATATAATAGGAATGCAAGGAAAATAATAATAATAATATCTCGAAGAAGAAGAAGAAGAAGAAGAAGAAGAAGAAGAAGAAGAAGAAGAAGAAGAAGAAAAAAAGAAGGAGGAAAAGAGGCCTGACAAATGGTATACAGAAATGAACAAGAGGAAGGTGCATGCCAAAAACGGGATACAAGATGGCAAAACACTGGGAATCGTGCCAACTAATCCTGTTCGGCCATGTAAAGAAATGCAAATTAAAGGTTGTCCAAGACAATAATTTTTTAAATATGGAATTTTTGTCAACCACACCGAACACCTGATGCAAGCAAGAAGATTGGATTTTGTCACAAAATACGAAAGAAAATCCAGATACCAGACCATGGTAGCTTGCTTTTTGAGGGTAGCGCAAAACGAAGAAAATAAACATTTCGAAAAAAGAAAGTTTGGCTCGTGTCCATAAATTTTTGGTGTCCATTTGGATGAGTTCACGAAATTTGTTTTACATTTTCCGGTCTTCGGCTGTTGATTGGTGGCTCTGAACACTCGTAAAGTAGAAAAGATGCTCGTATATCTTTTTATCATTCCGGTGTAAACTATAAATTTATTTAATGTATTTTTCTTTCTGCACAGAGAACTTACCTAATCAATAAAAAGAGTAATTTTTTAAGGAGAAATTCATTCTAGATGAAACGTATCACAACAGGTTCCTGACTTCACTTAATTACTCTTTTCTACAGACACCCGTAAATGTGTTTCTCATATATAATTATACACCTTTTTCTGCCACCATAAAATTATGTCACCAAATTCCCGAACCAAGTTCTTCTCAAATTATTATCCTACGGGAATTGCAACTATATGTATTTTCACGTTATGAAGATCAAAGTAAATATCCAAGTAGATGAAAGTATTAATTCATGAATTTTGATGAGATAATAAATGTGATTTCAATCACTAGGCCACGGACGTAATGAAAATCATTAGAAATAGAGCGTGGAATAACTGAACAGTACTAAAAATAAGAACAAGAAGAGGTATTGTTAGGCATGGGCAGTCGAATAAGAGCAGTCTACGCCTGTAGATTAAAATAAAGGTTCATTTCACAATTCCCCTGAACGTTAGGACAAAACGTTGTGATAAGAAAAATGAGGACAGCAGAATGAATGTAAATAGTTTAAATAAACCTGGGTGTATTCTTATAATTATGCAGCACACACTTCTTCCATATATATGTGTAGCGACTCCGGAGGTTGGGCTTGTCGGGCTCAGTCCCTAGTGAGTCAACATTCAATTATATCAATTTCAAAGCATCAAAAATATTATGTATGGATCGTTTTCATTCTTGCCCTCAGCATTTGGATTAAAATTACATGTTTACATCTGAGCCTCAAAATATTGACCTGATAAAATAAAGAAACTATATTGTTCATAATACCAAAGGAAGCAAAAAAACTGTTAAAAATGATTACATCCTGTAAGGGGGCAGCTTCCCAATATCAGAGATTAAAAAATTGAACAAATAATCAGCTAAAGAATCTGTAAAAGTTCTTGCGTTTTAAAAGCTAGGATTAAAACTGTTTTGTCAGAATTAACCATTTATGCTCGCCATTTCTCTATTAATTATAAAAATAATGCGACGGTGGAACTGCGGATGGCGTGTAGGAGATTCTTTACTAATCCATCAAATCACGCTTTCAAATTTGCGTGATCCGATTGACCCTGTGAGCAAAATGTTAAATTTGTGCTTAACATTGAAAAGTCTAAGGTCAAATAAAGTGTAATCTTATTTTAAAATAAAGGAACTGATAAACGCTGAAACGGAAGAGCCGAAAGGCGGTGGTGAAGAAGTTCCCAAAGATCAGAGACAGTGATTAAAGAGATCTGTAATTTAAAAAGAGAACTTCTTAGCAGGATCATCGGGCGTAAAAAAACATTAATATAATGACGAACAATGACCCATGTTGAATAGTGAAAACAAACGAATACCTTTTTCTACTTGAGTTTTTCAAGTTGTAGTGAGTCCGACAAAAATAATATATAAAATAAAATAAATATTATATATAATAATAATATATATTAAAAATTTTTAAAAAAACAAAAATAAAT